AAGAATCGAAGGGTTTACGAGAAGTTGATCAAGACTCTGAAACCTTTGGATGTAGTCTGGAAACACGTCCCCGGTCATGAAGGAATTCCTGGAAACGAAAATGCTGATCAACTGGCAAGAGAAGGAACATTAAAGGATCCCGAACCTGATTCATCATCATCTTCTGAGTCAGAATCAGAAGAACTACCTCCCGACCAAGTAATCATCGAAGGGCAACGAAGGATCAGCAACAGCAGCAGTGAATCAAGTGATCAGGAGGACCAACCCAAGGATGATCCTATAACCGAAACTCAACATCTTATCCAGGGAGTGAATGAATCCATTAACAAATTCAACTCCTTCACAGGCGCAGGAGCAGGTGTCTCTAATCTCACGAACAACACCCTATTCTGGGATTATGAAGGATTGGACCACGCTTCCAGAAGACAGTGTGTTTCAGATGGTGAGGATGATCAAGAGCATTTGGACTACTTGAGAACCCAGGATCCTGTTGATGAATATGACGATGGACTTTCAAGAAGAGTAAAGGAATTTCTGGATAAATACAACCAGAGCCGAGCTAAGGATCAACCCGGAAGAAAATCCGAAGATCCTCTCGAATATCGACCAGCCGCTGACACCCCTGCCTATTCCCAAGAAACTCCATTGACCACCTGCCCGCCAGGACCCAAAAGAAAGAGCATCGTTAGATTCAAGGAAATGCCAGAAGTCTTCGAAGCTGCGAAGGATGAACAATCAAAAACATCAAACCTATCACTTTCAGGAACTCTAACAGCCCCTTTTGCACAATCAACCCCCTTCACTCGATTTAAAAGTAACTTCGACACCTCTAAAGAAGCTTTAATCAATAGAAAAGCAAACTCGAAACCAAGACGAATTCAGGAAATAACCGATAAGGAGCGATCGAATAATGTACTATCGGGCAACTCACTTTTAGACATTAAAGAACCCTATATTGATCCTCCCCTTTCCCAATCAGGAAGTGATGATGACAGTGAAATCAGAAGTGAAAATGATAGTGATTGTGTACCCCAAGAACCCTCGTCACAAAATAATAAGCCTTTTGAATTTATCCAAAATCAGTGGACCGAACCTTTGACCTACAGACGTGACAATTACGCACATTTCATTTCTGAAGATTGCAAACCTACTAGTCCAATCGCCAAACTTCTAATTGCGACGGAAAAGATTGACCTCCGAGAGATTAGGGATAGCAAACCCGTGAAAGGACAAATTTATAGTACCCGTAACGGAAAATATCGAGTTTATTCGATTGTAGTAAAGAGGTACCATTTCGACGTAATTAGTTGGGATGATGTGATTAAGGGACTTAAAAATTTAAGGAAAATTTTATAAACAAATGGTCAAAATTCTTGTAGAATAGCGAATACTGGAGATTTGCTAGGTGCAATTCCCCAAGGAAAAATGGCTGAACTCGTAACAGGAATTTTCCGCGGTGGCGACGTCACTATCACCCTTTGCCACGGAAAAATCGAAGTACCTCCTGAAAGCTTGCGCAGTAAGATCATTGCCGAATCCCACTCCAGTCTAATCGGTGGACATAAAGGAATTTCCAAAACGTACCGTAGAATTCGAGAACGATATTATTGGCCACGAATGCGCAACGACGTCACACAATTCATTCGCGGGTGCAAAAGCTGTTTCGAGAACAAGCTAGTTAGGGCACGAACTAGGGAGCCGATGTTAATCACCGACACTCCAGCGATGCCTTTTGATAAAGTTTCGCTGGATACGGTTGGGAAACTACAAACAACCCCGAATGGAAATCGTCACATCCTCATGATGCAGGATAATTTTTCCAAATATTGTATTGCGGTCCCAATCCCAAATATCGAGACTAAAACAATTGCCCACGCAGTGGCAACTAATCTTTTTTCTGTCTTCGGAGCACCACGATGCGTGCTGACTGACAGAGGAGCAAGTTTCGTAAGTTCATTGATGCGCAAATTGGAAAAAATTTTTGGCGTCAAACAACTTACTACTTCCGGATACCGACCACAAACAAATGGTGCGCTCGAGAGAAGCCACATTGAACTGACGGATTACATTAAACATTATGCAAAGGATTTCGACGATTGGGATCGTTTGCTCCCATTTGACATGTTCAACTATAATACCTCAGTTCATGAAGCTACAAATTTTACACCATACGAGCTCGTGTTCGGCCATTTGGCAAGAGCACCCAGCTCATTACCCCAAGGCCCGGAAGTCGAAACCTATGGCTCTTATCTTAAGGACCTAATCACCCGAATGAACGAACTGCAAAACCTCGCAGCTAAATATTTAGTTCAATCAAAGGAAAAGTCGAAACAAGCGTACGATAGAAAAACTAGACCTTTAAATGCTAAAATAGGGGATCAGGTTTATGTTTATAAAGAAGTTTGAACGAATAAGTTCGATAAACGAGCAGATGGCCCTTTTACTATCGTAGGATTCACCGAGAATAATAACGTGGTCCTAGAAAACGAAAACGGCGCGAGATTTTCAAAACATAGGGACAAGGTCATGGTTGCCCACATATAATTCCGATCACTAATCTTAACATTGTTTTAGGTATGCAGAGGGTGACGAGTCCATGATGACGGGAACCGCTGTTGTAACCTTGCTATGTTTCCTTTCAATCACAACGACGGAGACACGACAGGAAGCCCTAAGCCGACCAGAGGTTTTGAAAGGAGGCGACCATTACCAGATTACCCCCTTCCAATTCAGTAGCGGGATGTACTTCGAATACATCGGGGAAGTCAGGAGATCCGTTAGCAACTGAAGAATTGCCGTATTCCTTGATGTTGGAAAGCAGTGCCGATTTTTCGACAATCTGAAGCAGCGCTCAAGGAAGCTGTCAGCGCAGTGTAGACCTGAAGAAGAGGTTACTGGATGTACTCCTTTGCAGTTCCAGAAACAGCAACGGTAGTCTGTCATTCTTTTAGCCCGGTCAAGATCGAGCTAAGCAATGCCGGTATGATAAAACTGGGACCTGGGTGCTCCTTAAAAACCAAGGACACTATTGTACCAGCTACGATTTCGCAGGCCGGAAAATTTGACTATACTATCACCATTGTTGGTGAGCTACGGTCACTTATTGGAAGGATCAGCGATTCCTGCCGACCCCAGCTCCGAAGTTGAATCTAAACTCTCTACTTTTGAGGTCAATTCCAAAACATTGGACGATTTAGAACAACAGCTCCAGGAGTTGTCTCTTCAACATCACCTGAAAGGAGAGCATCGAATTCTAGTATATGGATCATATGCAGGGCTAATTCTGCTGTTCACGATCTTCGCGTTGTATGCATGTCGTGTCCCATTTAAATCCGGAATAAGAAATATCACTCGGGCATTCTTCACCAAAACAAAGAGTGAGAGTTTCGAGCTGCCGACATCAACAAAAAAAGAAACCAACCCCGCAGTCCGCCAGCAAGAAAACCCCGAGCCACTGTACGAGGAAGCTAAATCATCTTCAACTGGACGAATTTCCGCCCTAAAGAAGACATCAGTAGACACTAAACCAAGTATTACCCAAGTGGAGAAAAAGTTCGCAACAATCGAAGAACCTCAGCAACGGAAGATCAGATGACTGATTGAAGGATCAGAACTCTGGACTTTTCAACCTCCAACCGAAGACAATGCCGAAAGAAAAAGAAAATTTTTACAACCACCAGATGTTTTCAACACCAAAGGAACATCATTCAGGAGGGACAACCCTGAAGATCACCAGCAGAAGGTCAGTGCCCACATGAACCGTAATCGACGAATGGAATCACGGTTATTTAAATAATTTACTTAAAGAGGGAAATAATATTTTATATTAATATGATAAAAGTTATTCTATGTCATTAATTTTGTTTAACAACCAGGTTTTTTTTTTATTAATTAAAAAAAAAAGATTTTTTGGGTTTTAATAATAATAATAGAAATAAAAATTTTATACCCGCATTTATGTTAAAAAAAAAAAAAATTTCACTTTTTCTTGCATTTTATAAAACTAAATATTACTTAATGAACCTTAAGATTAGCCAATAATTATAATATAAGTATAAGGCAATTGCTAAAACAAAACGAAACATAAAAATTCCATATTGTGTAATGAGAAGTGTCAGTGATGCCAGCGCCGTCAGGACGTGTTCGGCTTAATCCTTTAAAGAAAAGGAAGAATTTCGTGAGGGGAGCTTACACGGTCTTACCGACTATGCAGCCGTTTGGGCCGCCCTCAAAATCGCCAAACTTCCGTTCTACCATGTAGTCAACAATGACGAACGCATGTGTACTATTAAAAACACAAGCGTCCGTCCATGAGCTATGGGAGTTTTGGGTCAGCGCCTAGTCACTGACAGTTCCCACTACATTTCTATATATTCCCTGTTAAAGAAACAAGTAATTCTTGTGGATGGTTATGAGAAATGCACACAGATATATGTATCGAAACGATAAATCTATGAGACACAAATTTAACTTTTGTGAGAGACGCCCTCGATGCCAGCGCCGTCGGGACGTGTTCGGCTTAATCCTTTTAAAGAAAAGGAAGAATTTCGTGAGGGGAGCTTACACGGTCTTACCGACTATGCAGCCGTTTGGGCTGCCCTCAAAATCGCCAAACTTCCTTTCTACCATGTAGTCAACGATGACGAGCGCATGTGTATTATTAAAACACAAGCGTCCGTCCATGAGCTATGGGAGTTTTGGGTCAGTGCATGACCGATGGCGGCTCTCACAATGGCCGTTAGTTTTCTCATTTCCTTAGAACGATTATGTGTATTAACTTCAATATCAAAAAAAAAGAGAGAAGAGATAACCGGAATTCGAATAGACATAAGATTTATGGGAATTTATGAAACCATAATAAAAATTGAAACCACAAGGGTTAAAAGTTGCTTATTTTATTGAAGGAACAAAAGAAAAAAAAATATATTTCTTTTTGTAAGAAAATTAAAAGGAATTTAAGATTTGAAATAATAATCATAATGATAATAGTAATATATGACAAGGTACGTTTTATCCACCGAGGCTATTGGGGAACTCTTCCTCCCAACTACTCCCCGTCCCTTCCTCCTCTTCTTCATAATTTACTTCTGACTCTTCAGTCTCTTGCTCCCAACTTCCCTCTGTTGTTTCTTCTTCCTCCCAACTACCCTCTGTTCCTTCCTCTTCTTCTTCTTCCCAATTAACCCTTTCTTCTTCCTCTTCCTTCTTTTCTACTTTTGCGATCGCCCGCGGGCAAGGCACTGGGAAGGTGTGCCAAGCACTCTTGTTGTCCACATCCAATCTCTAAAAAAAATTTTTTATGAATACTTATTCCTGGAAGGTCATATTAAAATAATATGCAGAACACACGAGTATGACTTCTATACTTACTAGTTGCCACCATCCTCTCGTACGGGGTTGATTCATCCCTAACCAGTCGTGGCATTGCAAGAAGATAATCTTTAACCCCTTGCGCAGTGGTTGCACTCCTATGTGCCCGGGAATCGTAGGAAGATCTTTTAATAAACTAAAAAAAAAAGAGAGAAGAAACTTACATAAAAAAAAGAGAGGGGAACATTACGTCAATCACGTTGTAGTCTAAGTTTACATACCTAATCTCTGGAAGCCCGTTCTTGGGAAACCGCCCTACTACCATTTTTAGCCCCGGTAAATAAGCGTTCACCCTTACGGGATTGCGGAAGCTTTTCTAAAAAAAAATACATAGATATAATATATTTTAGGCATACAAGATATATTATTCAAGTCAAATGAAAATATAAATTGACCCTTACCGGAGCCCAGAAGCCCCTTCTAATATAGGCTTCATCTTCTTCGTCCCAGAAATACTCCTGGAACCACGATTGAGCCGGGTGAATTTTCCCTCGCCCACGGGCTAGATCCTGGTCAAAACTCCAAAAGGAATCTTCATCTTTCCGAACGGGAGCAGGGGCCCAAGTCCCAAAACTAATAAGTAGACTAAAAAAAAAAATGTGTGAGAATGTAAAAAAAAGAGGGGAAAAACTAAAAAAAAATCATTTTATAAACACTATAAACACAAATAAAACCATTTTAATATCACTGTAGAGTTAAAATTTCAAATGAAAATGGAAAAGCTTAGCCTTTTTCAGTTTTTTTTTGTTTTTGAATAACGTAATTCTTTTAAAATTTCTAGATTTAAATGTAGATTTTTAAACTATTTGAATTAAACAAACAAAATTCTTTTGTCAACTTTTCAAAATTATCGTATCTGGTAATAATTATAATTAAATATTTGATTATTCGCACGTTTATTAAAACGTTTAAATGTATTAAAACTTAAAAATAATTTAATTCCAGAGAACAATTTTCTTACTTATAGGATTAACTTAATTTTGGTGATTAAGTTTACAATAAAATTTAAAGTAATTTAATTGTTTCGAAGCTTTGTTAAAATTTTGGAAAAATAATTGGATTCTATCGAAGGGTTTAGTTAAAAGAAAAAGAGAGAAATATATATATTATATTTTGAATTCCTTCGTAAAATAAAATGTTAAAAAAAAAAGAAAATCTTTTTTTAAGTTTGAATGTGAAATTAAAAGAAAATTTTTCATATTTGAAAAAAAAAAAAAAAAAAACTAATTTATTTTTCCTGTGTCAACAAAAAATTTTAAATTTTACTAATTCGAGATAAAATAACGTAAATAAGTGAAATGGACTAATTTTGATTTTAAAAAAAAATGACACTAAATCTTCTGATTTTATTTTAGCATTTTTGTTTTCACTTTAGTTTAAAAGGTGTATACTTTATTTTAGCAGAATTTTCTTTTTCTCCGAAACGTTATGGTTCGAAATTTTAACGGACATTTTGGAACTTGAAATTTAAAATGATAGAAGAAAAACATTTTTTTATTAAGGTAGTACGATAAGTTTAACAAATTGCTCCTTGTAAAAAAATACGGTTTTATATAAATCGTTTTTTTTATTATTAATACTTTTAAACTTGTTAATTTTTTTTTTCGATTAATTAATGTATTTTTAAAGTCAAAACTTCCTGGTAAACTATAATTTAACGTATTTTATTTTCATTTTATCAACACGGTAATTACTTTCAAAATATTTATTATTTAATAAAATATACGCACTACGACATTCTAGATTTTTTTTTAATTATATCAAATAAAGTCAAAGGTCAATTAAAAAAAAATTTTACAAATATCTTGTGAGGTTTGTTCACAATCTATTGACTAAGTCTGCATTAGATTTAAACCACGGTAATACACACATTTACCCTACAGATAAATTTTAAGTGCAGTAAAAACCATTTAGGGATTGATTTTCCAATGTTTAAAAACAGCAAGGTTCCTAATTTTATTAATGAAATATTTCTAAATTTGATAAAATAATAGATTTCAAACCTGAGAAAATTATTATTTTCAACGATATAAATTATTGGGAAGTATGATGAAAATGATTGATTTTAACAATAAAGTGTATTACTTTAAAAGTGGAAGTCAATTTTTTTGTTTGTCATAATAGTTAATTTTAAACCGTGAATACCAGAAATAATTCTAAATTATTAAAGGGTTGTGAATAGACTATAAGGGATATTAATCGGGAATATTCAGTATGATCTTGTTTTCTGGATTTCTAACTGTATAATCTATTTTTTTTTCTCCGTGCACTACTGATCTTTCATTTTATTTCCACTACCTACACTGACATTCCTTTTACACAAGTTTTCTTATCTTCAACATTTTGCTGTTTTAATATCGTATTTTTTTTTGGTAAAGAAAATTTTTTATAAAATTCCCAATTGACTTTATAAATAGTAAAATTCTCCTCCAAGTTCAATTATTTTCATAAACTTAAAAAAAAAATTATTGTCCTAATTTTAATGATTTTTAATATCTACTATTTTAATAAAATTTCCCAAAAAGAATTCAATTATTAAAAAAAAAAGAGTTTAATAAAATTTTGTGCAAACATTTAATTATTTTCATAAATAATAATAAAATTTTTTAAGGAACTCTATTATTATTTTCATAAAAAATAATTTTAAATTCTAGAAAATAATAATTGAATTAAAATGATGAAAATAATTTTGATAAAGTTACAGTAAAAATATTTTATGGTATAAAATAATGATTTTATCTCTCGATCATCTTTAATTATTATAAAACATGAAGATCATGTTTTATAACAAATTCCTGTGGTAAATCCTGTTCCAAAAAAAAAAAAAAAAGATTAAAAATAAGATTTGTGCAAATTTTTCCTTCTGTTTCTAAAACAAAATAATAATTTTGTTTAAAGAAATTGTGATTCATAAAGAAAAATAATGCAAAATAAATAAATTTTCTATTTCTTAATCACAGTTGTTTAACAATTTTCTAATATTCTTTAGAAGTAAAGAACAAAAATAATTTCAATTTGACAAAACATAATATTTAAGAAAATTTTAGTCTTTTAATATAATGAAAGATGATTTCTATTTGTCATTATAATTTTGAATTAATTATTATCAAATAAAAATATAATATGTATACAATCTTTCTAATGTTAAAAAAAAAAAAAAAAAGTATAAATAAAAGACAACTTCAGAGTGTGAGGGACAGAAAAAGTGAAAGAATGAAAGAACATTCAAATTAATATAGTTAACTTTGACGGCCAAAAGTCAGCAATTGCATTCTAATGGGTATAGTTTGACTTGAGAACCCTTTTATTTAAGCTAAGATGTCAGAATTAATTTTAGAAATATTACCACAATAAATTAGAAATGTAATATAAAAATCGCCTAAGTTATATTGAGGCGACGGGACGGCGAACGGCTATCAGATTTTGTAAACTATGAATGAACAAAGATTATTACAGCAGCATTAGGCTTATACAGGGTATCCAGCAAAAACATAAAATAAAAATTCCCGTACTTCTCCCGCTCAACTATACAGAATTCCCGAATTTTCTTTATGTTCGTATATTATGTCGTTAATTCTAAATTTTGCAAAAGGGGTCGCCTGTATTACAAGGAAGTAATTTGATTATGACATTTCTAGTAAATTAAAATTTTAAACCTGTAAAATTGACCAGGACAATAAAATTGCACATCTGAATATAATTGGTCTTCTTTAGGTCATTCTAAAATCTTTTTAGTCTTTATTTGCCTCATGGATTATGAATCTACCACGAATTCTAATACAAAACCTTCAACATTTTATTATTCTCAACAAGAATTAATTTTAATACTATTCAACTATTTTTAAAAAAAAGGGGTCTTAATGCAATTATTGCGATAAATGACAGAATTATTTGCAGGGGTTCAGTTGTTTTCCGGAATCTCATAAGAAATTCTCTGCAAAATCCAATTTTTTTATAAACAACAATTTTCATCATTGGAATTCAATTATTTTCAGGAGAAATGAATTCGTCGGGAAATTCAATTATATGAAATTTTTTATAATTCTGCAAAAACATTCAATTATATCTTTATAAAAAGCTAAAATTTCATTTAGAAATACAATTATTTTAATTTTGAGTTTTAAGTAATTTTGAAACAATTTTTGATAAATTCCTCGAAAAATACAAGGATGATCGTAGCAATTTTATCAAAAGATAAAAGAAAAAAAACATAATTAAAAAGAAAAAACATTAAATTATTCAATAAAATAATGGAATTCGTTGCAAGAATTCAATTATTTTATAATAAATATGAAATTCGTAACAACCTTTTCATGAAAGAGTAAAATAATTCAAAGAAATTTTTTTAAGTGTAAAATAATTCAAAGAAATATGTATTTCTTTGAAATATCGTAGGTAAATTTACAACTTTTTGAGAAGCACTTAATTGAAATTTTTTTTGTCGTTTGATATGAAATTGTTTCAAACATATGTGTTTAATAATTCTCTAAATTAGTTTAAAACATCATTTATAAGTAAATACATTTTCAAATGTTGAAATAATTAAATTTTTCATCAGTCTAATCAATTCAATTTGCCAAAACTTGTTAAGAGAATAAAACAATTTGGATGATCTAATATAACTAATTAATATAGTTAGCTATTTTGTACGGATTAAAAAAAAAAATTAAAAAAAAACTGCTAAATTAAATATTTTTCCATAAAAATCTGCTGTTCATAAAGTATTGTTTAAAATTTAAAATTTTCTTACTAAGGGTTCAAATCGTAGTGCCGAATTTCCGTAAAAATGACAATGAAAAGGTTTTATTAATTTACATATATTGTAACATATCAAAGCGATATAAACAGTTTAGATTTTCATTTAAATATTTGAATCATTTTGGTATTTCAAACAGATTTGTTTGAAATTTCAAACAAACACTTTGTATTAATTTTCCAAGGAATAATTTGAAAATTTTAAAGAAATATGTTTTGGAATTTAATATGAAAATTTGTATTGAATTTAAAAATGTGTGCTGTAGTTTTTCAAAATTGTATATGATGATTGTTTCAAACATTTTTGTATAAAATTTGGAACAGGAAAAATTTTTTCAACAGTGAAGAATTCAATATTTTTTTGAGAGTAACAAAATACTTTGCAAAGAATTTTTTTAAAAGTTCTTAGTTATTCAAACAAGCAGTTAATAAGATTTTCGCATTAATTTAATTATTAAAAAAAAAATTATATATTAATGGAATTGTTCAAAGAGTTTTCAATTATTTTGAGAAAGTTGCTATGGAATCCTTCAATATAATAAATTTCAGTAAAATTTTAAATGAATCCCTTAAGGGGATCCCACTTATCGACATTGCAGATCTAAAATGATTAAAAATCTGCAACGACCGTTTCTTGGAAAATATAAGATATTATTACCTATAAATTTGGAAAACTCATTTTTTATCATGAATACACAGGATGAGTATTTTATTTGTTGTAATTATTTGAAAAAAATTATCGTTAGAAAGTTAAATATGGGCAGTTTCCCTGTAACACATCTTTGACTACTAGCTCAAACTGCAACGACCATTTCTCGAAAACAACGAAACAAAATAATTTTTCCATTTGGGAAATTTAATTTTGTAGGAAAATACGGAGGATGAGACTCATTTGCCATCCAGGAATAAATAAAAACTTTATTTTTTGTAAAGTGTATACGTGACAGCTGTTCGGTGGCACTTGATATTTAATTTACTAGCATTAACTTTTCTTTAACAATTTGAACAAAATAAATGTCTCTCATTGTGTGTCTTTCATCACTAATGAATTTTTACTCGAAAAGAAAACATTATATTTTATTGTTGCTAATTTAAAGCTAAAAATAATCAAAATTGGTCAGTTTTGGAACCTTTGGCGCCATCTCTTGGTTCTATGAACTACTAAAAGCTGTCACATGTGTTCTTCTTGTTGTAAATTGCTATACAAAACAGTTTACATAAATTAAAGTTTTTTATTGTTGTTTTCATATGTAATGAATCTTATTATGTGTATTTTTTATTAAAATTAAGTTTGCTAAATGGAAAAATTATTTTGTTTTGTTGTTTTCAAGAAAAGGTCGTTGCAGTTTGGGCTCTTGGAAACTGACCATATTTAATTTTCTAACAATATATTTTTTTTAATAATTACAACAAATAAAATACTCATCCTATGTATTTATAATAAAAAATGACTTTCACAAATTTATAGGTCATAATTCCTTATATTTTTCAAGAAACGGTCGTTGCAGATTTTTAACTATTTTTGATCTGCATTGTCGGTATGTGGGATCCCCTTAAAGGAAATTTTCTGTTTTTAGAAGGTTGTTAATAGGAATTCTCCTAGAATATAAATCAATTTAAGCCAGTTTCTTTTGATAGAAATTGATTTAAAGTGAACTTTCTTAAAAGAAAGTATCTTTTGTATAAATTTGAATAATAATTTAATATTGAGAGCACTATTGTGTAAATTTTGGGAATGGTTGGGTTTTAAATGATGAAAATTTATTAATAAATAATTTCGAAAAGTTAAAATAAATGCTAATTTTAAGGAAAAATAATAATAATTAATCTAAAAGTATCTAATCATTTTAGAGTAAATCAAATTTTTAAGTCAGGAAGAAGATCAAAAGTCCGTCTGAAAGTCAGAGAAAAGGAAAACTAAATTTGTGGTAACCCTGCATTATTGTTGATTGTTTTGGTTTTGAATATTTAGGACACGTTATTCTATTGGAAATAAATAATGTTCAATATTTATTTTCATTATTCCTTAGACCTTACATTTTAGAAACAAAAGTAGAAGAATATTGAACCCTGAATAAAAGGTAAATGAAGCAAATCATAGATCTCCGCAATAAAATTTTATTTTTAAGATAATTGAGATTTCTGACGAAAAACAACACTGTTGAGATTCTGGGGGAGAGTTACTTTTGAGAATAATAAAGTTTTGCAACTATTTAAAATTTTTTGCTAATTATTACCGAAGTTTATATTTTACTTACCCCCTTGACTTTTCGGAGATTTGTTGCATCTCCAAAACCTTTTCCAAGAGTGCCTCTATCTTATGCCCCTGGAGGATCTCCACCACGGACAACTCCCGTTCCACTATTAATTCCGCACGAAACGCTTTATTTTTCGCGTAAATTTCCACTCTTTTCCTCATGTTCTCCACCAACTTCGCGTATCCATCACTTTTTTCACCACTCATTTTATTTAAAAGAAAAATTTTCTTCTTCACAAAAAAATAAAAGGAAAGAAAAATTAACACTTACTGACGAACGACTCTAACGAAGGGCGTGATACAACTAATCGTTGACACCGGACCGCGACAACGATAACTAAGCACGCATCGAAGAACAAAGAACTGGCACCATATACTGTATGAAAACAAAATGATCCGAATACTACAGGGTTGCCAGAAGTCAAAGAAAAATCAATGACTTCATTCAAAAAATTTTTCTGTTAAAAGGCTCCGAGATAAAATTCTTGTATAGGGATATTTGAATTCTAGAAAAGGGAGAGTGGCAACAAAACACCCTCTTCTTGTAATATGTGTATTCGAATTCTTGTTAAAAGATCTTATTCTTGTGAGTTTAATTACCTCTCGTTATGTGTGGAATTTTATGTTTCTTCTACGAACTATGTCTAAATGTATAATTAATAATCATATATTTTAATAATATACATGTACACGAGGAAATGAAAAGAAAAAAAAACACCTCGTTCAGTACGGCAAAGGTACCAATGCCGGAACGTTTTTCTTTACCTAACTAAATTTCTACGATAAATATTTTGGAATTAGAAGTGTTAATATGACTAATTAGGGTATATATTGAAAGATTGGTATTTTATTAATAGTGATTAGGCCCTCAAATTATTATTTTTATGAAATAAGAATAATATTAATTAAATTATAAAACTCTGCACTGTACCTATTACGGAACGGTTATTTTCTGTATGTACGGGTATTCCGAATTGAATGTCCCTATTGGGGAACACCTAGAACACCTTATTTGATTCAACAAGTAATTAAAATTCTATTGAATTATCTCAATAATTTGAATATTAATTATAAAGAATTAAACACAATGAACAAATTCTAGTTTAATAAATAATTAAAAAGCCAATTTTCTGGTATAAAATTAATACGAAAATACTTAAAATATTTGAGATTATGTTTTCTATATTTCCTGGGTGTTCCATTAATCGGGATATGTAAATAATGAATATACCTAATATGAAACGGTAGTTCGATGGGACTACTGATTTAAAAGCTGAAATGCAGTTAAAAATTCTTATTAAATTAAATACTATACAGAAATAATAATTCTCAAATCCTGTAAATTTATTAAAATAACTTGAATTTGTTTACCACCAATTTTAATTGCATTTTTCAAAATTTTTGTAATACGATCCCGTAATAGGGACGAAAATTTAAACTGTTCCATTATTGGTATTTTCACCTTACATCTCTTGTTTCAAATCTAAAACATCAGTCTTTTTGGGGACAAAAAAGGGAATTTTTGCGGTGGATTGTTGCATGTTGAATTCGGAAGTTAAAACTCGGCAACGCTGCTTAATAAATATTTTAATTTACTTGCTAACAAAACTCGCCACCTCGCAGCGTGATCTTGCTGCGAGAAACTTAACACCCTGATAAGGACGACTTTGTCAGCAATGATGTTTTAGATTGAAAATTATTTTTACCTAGCGAATAAATAAAAAAAAAAATGAATGAAGACAAAAGGGGAGAATTTAAAATTTTAACCTTGCTACAATGCTGCGAAGTCTTTTGACGAAAATTAACATTGTAGCAATGGTAAATATAAAAAAAACCTTGGAACAAAAATGTAACGACTAAGTTATTTTATGTTTATGCCGGAACAACGCAGTGATTGTCACCAGTTCATCAATAACAAAATTGGTTAGAAAAAAATAGAGCGCACCTAAGAGAGGAATAGAATCAAAGGAATTCATTGTTTTACACGTGTGCTTGGACGGCAACACATACGAGCACTCGCCTGCAAGTAATGGACACCAATACTCTTACGGGTCTCCCTTCGTTACGAAGTCCGCACGGCCGAGCGAAGTCAAGTATTGCTGCACCAATACATACACACCCATACTTGCCTCTACTCGATGTTTCTTTCTCCAGCGAAACCTTCCTTCCCCTCAAAGACCACAAGTTTGAATTGCAACACAATAACAAACGCACGTGCGTTCTGTCAAAACGAATACGAGATATTTAGTGTAATATCCGTGCATACAAATTTTTGTTACAAAAAAAAATTTCTTTCTGAAAAACATCAACAGCCCCACAAAATAAACATTTAACAGCAAAAACAATTATGTTTTTGTTTATTTGTTTTGCTTAAATAATAAAAAATAGGTCAATTATGATAATATAATTGCGACTTATTAAAATAAAAAATATAGTTCAAAATAATAGTATTGAATATTCATGGAATTATTATTTCCAGAAAAGGATCAAAATTCATTTTTGTTTCCGTTCTCACGGAGCTGCCGTGAGAATCAAAAGTCAGCAAAATGCAATGACCAATGGGCCGCGAATTCCCCTACTCCCAACCTTAAGAACTCTTATCACCAAATCATCCCACCCTATTCGAAGCAAGGACTAGAGGCAAGTCAGAATCTTTTAATCAACGCAGTACAACTTCTTGATTCCTTCGAACAACACCTTCTGGCCTAGCCTAGAAAAGTATTGTGGAAATCAAGAACGCCGCGACTAAGCCCGTCTGCGCGTCGGACCCCCGCGTGCAACTTTAAGTAAAATCGCGAAAGGCGGACGATAAACAGAATTAAATCTCTTAACCGACGGAGTCCCGTGAGGATTGTGTTTCGAAAATCGATTAAATTCTAATAACAAAAAAAAATCTTTTCTTTGTTTGAACCGATTTGTTTTCTTAAACCGGCCAGTCCGTGTGTGTGACACCTGCGCCGTCCAAGCACAACGGCCCCACAAAATAAAAACATTTAACAACAAAAACAATTGTGTTTTTGTTTATTTGTTTTTCTAAAAAAAAAAAAAAGAAATAGAACATTTTGTCTATTTTGTAAACTACGAATACCGACCTTTGGCCAATCAAGGGTCAGTGCCGTGTATAAACAACCACTATTTTGCCCGACGACAACTGAATTGTATTTTCATCGCCGTCGGTAGCCGTAAGTACTAATGTATCGTTCCTACAATTTTTCTTCCATGTTGTTTCAATAAATACTAATTCTCTTCAGACACAGTTTTCTATTTTCTTTACACTTACCTTTATTCATATTCACAAACTTACAAAAGAATCTCTCATAAAGCAAGGCGTAACTTCTAAAAGTGGAGAACGACCCCACAATATAACAAGATAGATTTCTATCCTGGCAGCTTGGAGCCTCCCCGAACCCAAAAATTTAGAACCATCTCAAAAGTTCAAAATAAATAAATTTTCGGTTTGTAACATAAATATCCTGGAATATCTCTTATATTTTGGATTGAAATGTTATTGTCATTGATATATGGTTGTCTTGGAATATCTCTTATATTTTTAGTTTAAGTATTATAGGAATTACATGCGGATATCTTGGAATATCCCGCATATTTTGATTTGAATATTATATAAATTTATACACAGATATCCTTGGATATCCCATTAATTTTATTTAAATATTATTAGCATTTACACTTCTTATATTTAAGTATTGTAGGAATCACATGCGGATATCCTGGAATATCCCGCATATTTTAGTTTGAATATTATATACATTTATACACGGATATCCTTGGATATTCTATTATTTTAGTTTAAATATTATATCGCAAATTTAATGCTAATCATCTTATTGTACACCGCTCTCAAACCCACACACCTTGGGATCGCACTAGTTACAACGGCACGCACACAGGTTCACTACATGTAATACAGGCCACTCACACATTGCAGGCCTCTTCTCGTTGCTTCTTCTTTTCGTTGCATCCTTCCCTTTTCCCCTGAGCCCCACGTGCTTGACAAGCAAACGCACGTGTATGACTCAAGATGATATTATTTCTTTTGAAGCTCAAAGAAATAATAAAGAAATTATTTTATTTTCAATCAATTTGCACTAGTCAAAATTATGTGGTGTGTCTGAAGTTATTAAATAATTATAACCGGAACACCAGCACTGGTATTAGTGCAATGTTATTAATAAATAATTTTCATTATTTATTAATAACAACAATAAACAATTTTCTTTATTAGTATATTTTTATTATTGTTATTTTTTTTATTTATTAATTTTATCTTTTTTTTTAATATTTTTTTTACTGGAATTATTTAAAATAATAATTTCAGAAAAGTATCAAATTTCACTTTCCCCTGCCTGCCAAACAAACGCACGTGCGATGACTTGAATCGAATATTATTTCTTTTTAAGATCAACTAAATTAAAAGGAAACTGATTGTTTCAAAATTATTTACATTATTCCAAATGGTGAGGTGTTGCTGAGATTATAAAGCAATTATAACCAGAACACCAGCACTAATTACTAGTGCAATTTTATTAATAAATAATTTAATTATTTATTGATTAATAATAACAATAATCAATTTTTTTTATTGTTGTTGTTATTATTATTTATTTTTATCAATTTTTTTTGTGATTGGAATTATTTGAAAATAATAATTCCCAAAAGTATCAATTTTCGCAGACGCCTTTCCGTTTCTCACGCTAAGCGTGAGATCCGCAAGTCAGCAAAAATCCCTTAGCCAATGGGCCCAGAATCCCGACCAAATTTATTATTCTCGTTTCCCTAAAATTCTAAATTTTCATTTTGGATTCGAATTAATAATTAAAACCAACAAAAGTTAAAGCTTCAAAATTAATTAAAGGTGTTAATAATAAATTCAGTGCGTGTGTGCGTGAAGTTTAGAGTTTTCCCCTTTATTTTGAGTTTTATTCTTGCGTGCATATGCCTAGGTCACCTGAAATTAAGGCCTAAGCAAAATTTATATAAACAATTAAAATTTTTGCCCGCCGAGCATCTCAAAACTCAGGCGGTAGTGATAAGGAAATTTAAGTTTAAAGGAGAGAGGGTGAGTTTTTAAAATATTGTATCGTTCCAGTTACTTCTACCTATGTAATAATTTCTTTTATTCTTAGTTAAAATAAATTGTAATTCTTATTTAAATTCTTGTGTCTTTCTGTCTTAATTATTTCTATCAC